GAGAGCAGCTCTGCAGTGGGGCTCTTACCTGCATGGCCTCTGCCAAGCTGAGCATCCGACTGCCCTGCTGGATGGAGGGCATCACATGCCAGTAGTGGATCAGCTCATCATCAAGCCGCCGGGTGTCACCTGCTTGGGGTGAGCGCAGAACCGTCAACCTGGCCCCGCAGGACCCAGTGCTTGCCCACACCAGGTGCCTCACACATGCCAGCACATGCCTGCACATGAAGGCACTGGGCGAGTGTGGGAGCAATGGGGCAGGGCCCAGCCCCTGGCAAGCACCCACCATGGCACTCCTGGCACAAATGGGGGCAGGATGCGGGTCTCTTAAGGTTCCCTCCTGTCCACAGCTGCACCTGGAGCTGTGGGGTCAGGGCAGGGGCAGGGATCTCCATACCAGATGCTCCAGCCCAGCCCCATACCCCGCATGGCCACGGACTTCCTTGCAGGCCCAGCTGCCCAAACCTGGCAGAGCAGGGCAGAGCAGGGCCCGGGCAGAGCAGGGGCAGGAGGATCCAGAGCAGGAGGTGCACAGGACACCAGCACCAACACTCCCTGTTGGGGGGCAGCCGAGGACACACCCACTGCCATGAGCTGGGGGCTTGGTGCCCAAGAGGGGAGCCCTGGAGGATGGGGCCCACCCACTGCTCCCCCAGGGAGGACTCCTCCCCACAGCAGACAGGAGCTTGGGCTCCCCGCTGCAGCTGCAGGGCCCTGCAGGAGGGGGATGAGACCCCACTGCAGCACCAGTGCAGCCAACTCAGAGGTGGCTGCTCCTGGTACCCCTACATGCAGGCTGGGGGTCAGGGGAGGGCTGGATCCTGCAGAGGCTGGGCCTGGGCAGCAACCCCCCCAGATTCACTCAGGGACAGGCCGCGGGGTCCAGGATCAGGGCCGGCACTGGCAGAGCGGGACCGGGTACAGCAGTGCCCTGCCCGCCCCAAGGTAAGGGGCAACATCCTGGGGGAAGGGCTGGTGCCCCGGGCAGCACGTGCTGGCGGCCGGATCCGACGGGGCTGGGGCTGGACCCGGACCCCAGCCCGCTCCTCCCCCGGGGCTGCGAGCAAGCCCCGCGCTCCCCCCGCGGCGGCCAAGGCTCCCGGCCGACTCAGGCAGACGCG